TTTTTATTAATAAATAAATAAATCAAAATCATTATTATCATTATCATTATTATCATTATCATTATTATCATTATTATTATCACTATTATTATTATTATTTATTTAAATAAATAAATATAAAAGGAAAAAAAAAGTAACGGTTTCATTTTAACAGTTTTTCAAATATTGAAATTTTTTTTTTTTATTATTAAAAAAAAGCGTCGGGAGGGGAGAAGTGGGGGGAGGAGAAGGGAGAACGAGGAATGAAATGACGATGATGATGATAATGTACGTTATTTAAAATTTAAACGTTTTTCTTATTACGTCACTGGAAAAAAAAAATACGACCGAACATAAAACTTCATATCAATTAACTTTAACTCGCGTTTTTCCTTTTTTCCTTTTTTTCTCCTTTTTTTTTTTTCATCATCCACGTCATTTAATACTCGTAAAAAAAAAAAAATTCCATTAAAGTGGAAGAAGACAAAAAAAAAAAAAAAGAAAAAAGGGACGTAAAAATACCTGAAAAAAAAAACCTTTTAAAAAAGTGATGTAAAAGGAGAAGGTCCTTTTGATACCCGATAATAAAAAACAAAAAAAAAAAAAATTTTTTTTTTTTTACCAAAGAATTCGATCTTTTAAAAAAAAAAAAATGATAATAATAATAATAATAATGATAATGATAATGATAATAAAAAGATTCGATATAAAATTAACAAAAGGTACGCTACATATATTTTTTTTTACTGCCCTCCCCCCCCCCTCTCTCTCTCTCTCACCCTTCTCCCACTCCTACTCCACCACCTCTGACTCCTCCTACTTTTACCCCCACCCTCGGATCGTCTCGCAATTTCAAAATGGCGTTCGAGTGAGTGAGTAAGTGGAAAAATTTAAATATTTTTAACGGTTTTTTTTTTTTTTAATACCGACTTTTACGCCGCCATTTAAAATTTTCTTTTTTTTGAAATAAAAGAAAGGTAACAAAGGAAACGGAATCTTCCTTTTACCATTTGAGATAATAATAATAATAATGTTAATGATGACCATTATTATTATTCGTTTGAACAATGATAAAATAATATTAAAAATTTTTTTTTCTTTTTATATGAATTAATAATATGAAATTTCCAGGATTTTAAATCCTCATGGAATCCAGTATGATGATGATAATAATGAAAATAAGAGAGAAAAAAATGGAAAGAATAATGATGATGATGATGATGATGATGTTGGGTTAATTATTAATTAAAAAAATTTTTTTGTTACTCATTCGAATACATTTCCCATTCCCCCCAAAAAAATTATTATTTATAAATAATAATAATAAAACTTTTTACTGGAATTTATTTTTGATAAAAAAAAATGGATTGGTTTTTTCCAGAATGTTCTTTTTCAAAAAGAGAAAGAGAAAGAGAGAGAGAGAGAGGGGGTGAATGGAAACGAGACAAATAATTAAATTATGAATGTTTTTTTTTTCTAAATAATAAAAATTAATTAAAAATTGACAAACAGACAAACAAACAAACGAACAAACGTTTTGAATAATAAATTTTTTTAATTTTAATTTTTTTGGAAAATTTAACTGAGGACGCGCATGGATATACTCAACTTTACGCACACGTAAAAAAGTCCGGTGGTGAGGGGAAGGAAAGGGGAAAGGTAGGGAGAGGGGGGAGCACGAAATTTGTTAAAACCGAAATGATGGAGAAGAAGAAGAAGAAGACTTTGGTTTTAAAAAAGTATTCATATGTAAATTAACCGACGTCTGAAAGAAGAAAATTTTAGAAAAGGATTTTAAAATGTATGGAGAGAATAATGGAGTAAAATGTAAAATATAAGCACCATGTTAATAAAAAGATGTTTGTTTGGCATATAACATAATTGAAAACTCATGAAGCGTACAGTTTATTAGATACGAATAAAATGAAAACAACAACCGAGAAAAAAAAAAAAAAAAAAAAATTTTTGTTAACAAACAACAACCAAATGTTGGTTATTTTTCTCAAGACCTCTCTCAGTATAAATAAATTTCCTCCTTTATTTTAAAATTAATTTTATTTATCAACTTACCAACCGCTCCAACCATTTTCCATCTTCCCGTTTTTCCACGTGCGTGAGTGAATACGTGCGTGAATTCGCGTAAAATAAAAAAAAATAAAAAAACATTTTTCGTTGTTAACAGACAATCCGCCATATTGGCAAATAAAAAGAAATAAACCTGAAAGTAGCGCCTCTAACGGTTGTTTAACGAATTAAATATATTTTTTCCCCGGTAAAATTTTCCCCCTCCTTTTTTTTTTTTTATTTAATTTTTTCGTCTGGATTAGTAACTGGAAAAATTATTTTTTTTTCTTTCTCCTCCAGGAAAATAATAATAATGATAATAAATAAATAAATATTTAAATTAAAAATTCGATGTATTTAAAATTTTATATTATTTATGTATATATATATATATATAAATATATATATATATATATATATATATATATATATATATATATATATATATATATATATATATATATATATGTATTGTATTTATTTATAACTATTAGATATATTTTTTTTTTGTCAGTTTTAAAGAAACATTTTTTTTTTTTTTTTTTAACAAAAAGAACAATTTTTCATTTATTATTATTATTATTATTATTATTATTGCTATTTTAAGCCGACATTTTTCTTTTTCATTTATATCATTTATAATATATATATATATATAAATATTCATTTAATTTTATTTATAAAAAAAAAAAAAGAAGGAAAAAAAATTGTTTTATATATAATAACGGTAACCATCATTTATATCAATGAAAAAAAATATTCAAGAGCGATTAATAATAATAATAATAATAATAATAATAATAATGATAACAACAACAACAAGAGGAAAACGGGGTGGGGAGGGGGAAAACAATAAATTCGTTACGATATATATATTAAAAACACTGGTCAAAAAAAAAAAAAAAAGAAATTTTCATTCAAATCCAGATGGTGCTTTTCCTCCTGCTCCTCTTGCTCCAGCTCCAGCTCCTGTTTGTTCCTGTTTTTTTTTTAATGGTCTCAAAATTAACGGGAAACGAGCGAAAAATAATATTAAAAAAAAATTAATTCTTTTCCCTCCCTTTTTTTTTTCGTTTGATTTATATCGAATAAATATATATATATATATATATATATAAACGTAAGATTCGGTTACGAAATAACCGGAAATGGAGACGAAAAAACGTTATTATTATTATTATTAATATTATTACAAACGATATAAAATAATTTTTTTAAAAATTATTATTCATCATCATTATTATAACAAATTATTTATATATATAAATATAATTTAAAATTATTTTATTTAACTGTTATATATATATATATATATTTTACATAGTATTATTATTATTATGTATGAGAGAAAATTCAATAAGAAAATGAAATTTATTATTAATAATAATAATAATAATAATAATTAGTTTTTTTTTCTGTTCCCGCGCAAATTAATAATAATAATTTTTGACCCGCTTATAATAATTATATAAATAATTTATTTATTTATTTAATTATCTAATATATAGCGTTGAAAAAAAAATGGCGTCGAGATTAAATAATAATAATAACATACTCCTTCCTCATCTCAATAAAATAAAAAAAAATCGCGATTTGTAAATAAAAAAAATTATGATAATTAAATAAATAAATAAATACATAATTATTAATAAAAAATTAAAAAATCTTAATAATTATTATTATTATTTAAATTATTATTAAAATAATGGATTTATTTATTTATTTATTTTTAAAGTTTAAATTTAAATATATATATTTAAAAAATTTTTATGACGTCACGTATAACAAAAAAACAAAATGAAAAAATGAAAAATTATGATTGGACCACGCAAAAATGAAATAATTAATATCAGCCAATAGAAAAATTTATATTTTTTAATTATATTATTTTAATTAGCCAATGAAATCGTTACACGTCATAATGTATGTTTATATATATATTTTTATTTTATAAATTCATTAAGTAAATGATGTATGTAACGCCAAAAAAATTTTTTTTTTATTTTTATTTTTAGGGTGTAAAAAATTTGGTGTTGATTTTTTTTTTTGTTCTTGCTGACTTCATATAAACTCTTTTAAAGAAAATGTTTAATAATAATAATAATAATGGTAATAATAATAATACTTTTATGTTTTTTTTTTTGCTCCCCACATTTTTTTTTATTATTATATCGACTTATGTAATTTTTTTTTTTCGTCGTTTAAAAAAAATAAACAAATAAATAACGAAAACAATAGAAAGAGAGAAAGAGAGAGAGAGATAGAGATAGAAAATTTGTGTTTCGAAAAGGCGGTGGTGAACAAAAAAAAAAAAAAAACGAAACAACAAACGAGAGTTTGTTTGTTGTTTAGTTTTTATTGTTTTTCTTATAAATAAATTTCAAAATGATTGTTACGTCATTCATTCTTTGGCACAATCAGAACAACAAGAACAAATTATTATTATTATTATTATTAATAATATTTTTCTTTAAAAAAGTTTATCGTAGTATACGGGTCAGCAAACAATATTTACATATAATATTTTATTTTATAATAATAATAATAATTGTTTTTTACACCCTTTTTTAATTAAAATATTTTAAATGTAACTTTATTTATTATTATTATTATTTATTTATTTATTTATTTAATTATTTATCAAAGATAGAATCGACACAGCCACAAGAAAAAATTATTATTATTTTTTTTGTTGAAAATAGAATAATAATAATAATGAAACGAAACGAATAATTTTTTTAAAATATTATTAATTATTATTATTATTATAAATATAAATAAAATTTATATGAAATATCTAATATTTTTTCCTTCGGCGACATAACAATAAGAGCGAATTCCGATTTAGAAAATGCACTTATGATAAATAATAATAGGAGAGTGTTGTAGTCGTGGTAGTAGTAGAAGTAGTGGTTATAGCCGAAAAAATAAAAAAATCCTGGATTCGCTCTTGAACATCACTTGAATAAAATCCTTCTAAACGCTCTACGAAAATCTTTATTAAATATTGTATATATAACGGGATTAAGTGCGGAGTTTGTGTAACCGAGCCAAAAAGCAAATGCAAACGCTCTTTTAGGTACGTTGCAACTGGCTCCGCATAAAGGAGTCAATATATAAAGGAAAAAAAATGGAAGCCAACAAGCAATAAATGAGCCCATTATTAAACCTAATATGAGCGTCGCTCTTTTTTCTTTTTTCCTTGCGATACGTCTCTTTTCTCTCTCCGGATTTTTAGGTTTTTCTATTCTCGGTAGTTCTTCAATGTTGGGAGGGGGTTGTTGTTGTGGTTCGTGAAGAGGAGGCATTTTACCCAAATCAATGGCTTCACGTTTGGCTTTGGATGCTTTCCTACCGAAAATCGGTTTGCAAAATCTTAATTTTAAAGGTTTAACAACGGCACACCTACTCACGACTCCGCTATCCGAACTAGAAGGATCAAATTCGCTCACCATATCCGTATCGATACCCACGCTAGGTGCTCTACATCTTCCTATGACCGAAGGAGTACTATGTTGTTGTTGCGTACCAAGATCACCGTTCACGCTCAATGTCGAACCGCGAAATTTTGCCGCGGTTGATAACAAGCTACCACTACTACTACTACCACCACCATATTCACCTCCTCCGATTTTTAACGTGTCTTTAGGCGCGTCTAAATACCCGCTATCGTTTCCTTCGGTCGGATTATTTAAATCCGCATTTTCACTCGTGCTTATATCACTTGCAAAATCACATGTCACTATGGGTATAGTCGGAGGTATAGAAGGTGATATAGTTTCTATCGTCACGACGTTTTTCATTGGTGAATTCCTGTTTTTATCAACGGGAGAACTTAAATCGGGCATTCTTAATTTATTATTATCCCCGATTGGAGCGTTCGTAAAACTCGTGCATTTTTCTTTCGACGCGTTCGGTTTTTGCTGTTTACGTATCCCTCTTCTAACTCTTGCTTTGGCAGCAAAATAAATACGAATGTAAACGAACACCATGATGCATGAGGGTATGTAAAATGATCCCAGTGCAGAATATAAAACGTAGCCGATATCTTCGGAAAGCTGGAACAAAAATAAAAAAAGATTTTAGACATTTTTCTCAATACGGTGATTTCCCTCTCCTTCCCTCCTTCCCTCCCCTCCCCAGAAAAAATGCAATTCAAGCAATCTATCAAAAATTGTCAAACGATCGTTATTTGTAATAAAAAAATATTAAAAAGGGTAATAAAAGAAAATTCATAATTTCATTTTTCTAATAAAAAAAAAAAATTCAATTTTATTCCTTTTTCTCCAGTTATGGAGAAAAAAAAAATTATAATAAAAGATGAATGACAAAAGAAAATGTCTGGAATGGAGAGAAAAAAAAAAAAAGAAAAAAAGTTTCAATTAAAAATCTTTTAAAAGAAGGAAAAGAAAGAAAGAAATAAAAATTTTTTTTTTTATAAAACGTTCCGTGTTTATACGTTTGTAATTGTAACAAACGACAAACGACAAACGACAAACGATTGTTCCAGCGAAAGAGAGAGAGAGAGAGAGAGAAAAAAATCACATACCCGAAAGCATAACATAAAATCAAACAAACGAACAACATTTTTTTAAATAAATGATCCGTTAAATTTTTGAATAAAAACTTTCTTCTGCCACTTTTTTTTTTTCTTTTGAATTATCCATCCGGTTAAATTTTTTCTTCTTCTTATTCCACTTGAAATAAATAATAATGATGATAATAATTTTTTTAAGCGGTGACGTGTCACTTGACGACTTTTAAAGAAAAAAAAAAATTCTTTTTTCTTTCGTTTCTTTTGTTTTGTTTTGCATTTTTTTTTGGGGGGAGGTAGAGAGGGGGGTAGTTACGACGAATTTTAAAATGATAAAAAATTTTAATTGTCGTTTGTTCGACAAACAAGCAAACAAACGAGCAAACCAAAAAATAATTAAATTAAAAAAATAAATAAATATAAATTTTATTGTATTTCACTTTCTTTTTTTTTTATTTTTATTTTTATTTTTCTTCTTTTTCTTCTTCCACTTTGATTTTCTCCAGTTTTTTTTTTTTTTTAAACTGTAAATAAGATTATAAATTTTTATGGTCATTTAATGGCTTCGAATTTCACAAAAAAAGAAAAACTTTTAAAATCGACCAATTTTTATTTTTATTGTTCTCTCAAAGTTTTTTTTTTTTAAAGTCATCAGAAGAAGAAGAAAAAGTCTGAAGATTGAAAAAGACAAGAGAAGAAGAAAAAGAAAAGTTTTTTTTTTTTTTACTAACGAGCATAATAAAAAGGTTGAAAAGAGAAAAAAGAAAAAGAAAGACGACTATTTTTAATGGTTCTTTTCGAACGGACGGACGGTTTTTGAAAAACAAAAAAAAAATTTTAAATCCCCTCGAGTATCTTCTTCTCATTCGAAAAAAAAAAAAAAAATTTCGAAATCGTAAAATACTAAAAATGTCTGAAACCGACCATCAACCCCTCCCCACCCCCACCACCACCGGTTATGATCAAAGAAAAAGAAAAACTGAACCAAGTATTAACAAATAAATAAAATTCACGTTTAAAAAGAAAAGAAAAGAAAACCCGGAAACGATTGGATTTTTTTTTTTTAAAATACGGCGAAAAGGTTAATATTTTCATCGTCCCCCCTTTCTATCCCCGTCTGCACCCCCCGTGGCGCGAGAATTATTTAAAAAAAAAAAAAAAAACGCGCGGCGGAGGTTTCATAACCACCGGAAATAAAATGTTTAATGCTCACCCAACCAAAAATACAATTTATTAACATCAAACGGAAAATTATTAAATTTAACCTTTTTTCTCTCTCTCTCTCTCTTCATCTCTCTCTTTCTCACTCTCTCTCTCTCTTTTTTTTTCGGTGGATAAATAACATGTCTTAATTATAAATTTTTCTTTTATCATCCGGACTGGAGTGCGTGTGAGCGTGCTGGAAAAAAAAATCGCCAGAAAAGACAAAAAAATTATCATTATTATTATTATTATCATTATTATTCAGGTACGTTAAAAAATAAATAAAAATTAATTAAACAATAAATAAATGTTTGAATGTGGAATATAAAATTAGGTGTATTCATATAATAAAAAAAAAAAAAGGAAAGAAAAAAAAGGAAAAAAAAGGCAACAGGCTCTGACAGGTTGTGAAGTTTAATTAGAAAAAAAACATACGTTTTTGACAAGTTTCTCCCTCCCCTCCCCTCCGCCCCCGCTTTGTTTCCTCACACAACTTTCAAGTCCTTTTTTACATTTTGTCCAATTCCCTTTACCATTGATCCCTTTTCCTTTTTCTCTCTCTCTCACTCTCTCTCGAATACGTTTTAAGTGTTATATTTGTAAATTTTATAATTTTATAACCGGAAGTGACGACGACGACGACGACGACGGCGACGGCGACGACAACAACAACAACAGCAGAATCGACAACATTACTCGTGAAATTATTTAAAATTATTATTATTATTATTATTATTAAAATAATATATAATACAAAAATAAACGACGTGTGTGTGTGTCACTCACGTTTTCTCCCCCTCCTCCCCGAAATTTCTGTTCGACCCGTATAATAATTCGCAGTAAAAAAAATTATTATTATTATTATTATTATTATTATCATTCTCTAATAATATTAATAATTGCGAGAGGGCGTGCGAGTGTGTGTGTGAATACGTTCGGGTTTGCACGTTCACCGATTTATTTATCGTTTACATTAACATTTTTATACAATTAAAACAAAAAAAAGGACGTTTATTATTATTATTATTATTGTTGTTTGAAAATAACACTTGAAATCATCATCATTATCATCGACGTCGACGACGACGACGACGGTTACGAACGGGATAATAAAATGGATTGTTTTAGTTAAGGGAAAAATTCGGGTCGGAGAAACGACGACGATGACGACGACGTGGAAATGAATATTGAAAATTTATACAGTTGACGTTTCGAGCAGGATGAGGAGGAGAAGGAGGAGCGGGGGGAGAGAAGGAAGGGTGGGAATATGGGAGAAAGGGGGGAGAGTACAGAGCGAACGGGAGATAAACCGCCGGAAAGGAGGAAAATGAATAAATAAATAAATGGAAAAATTCGGAAAAGGATGAATGAGAGAGAGAGAGAGGGGATAAGGGTGAGGAATAGGAGGGATAAGGAAGGGAGTTAGGAGAGGAGGAGGAGGATGAGGGGGGAAGAGAAAACATCAGAAAAAAGGAAGTTTTGTCATCAATAATATTCCCGCGAGACAAAAACTAAAACTGGGTTTTATGGTTTTCATTTTTTGATTTTTTCCTTTTCTTTCTTTATCTTTTTCTTCTTATTGTTATTTCCTTTTTTTTCCTTTGTTTATTTTTTTTCTGTCACGTTTCCCCTTCCCCTCTCCCCAATTTTCTTTCTTTTCCATTGATTTTTATTATTAAAAAGGAAAAATTTAAAAAAAAAAATAAAATTATACAAAATAACAATAATAATAATTATTATTATTTTAAGAGTATTGTATCGAAAACAAAGGAAAAAGCGTCGCAAAGGAAAAAAAAGTAAAAGGAAAGTAAATAATAATAATAAAAAAATCTTTTCCTTTTTTTTATTTTTTATTTTTCGTTTGTTTGAAGTGCTTAAATCAAACAAAGGATAATCCCCATTAAAGATATATATGAAAAAAGGTATTTTCCTTTTTTTCCTTTTTTTTTCCTTTTACTAACTAAACCTTAACCCGATTTTACCGTTAATACATAAATAATGTTAAGTAAATAAATAAAATTAAAAAAAAACCGGAAATGAATTTTTTTTTTTTAAATTTTCCCACGATAATTTATTATTATTATTATTATCTGGATGTGTGGGAGAAAGGGGAGGGGAGAGGGAGAGAGGGGAGAAAGAGAGAGAGAGAGAGAGAGAGCGTTAAAAAAATCTCCATAAACTGTTGTTATTATTATGAGGGAAGGGGGAGGTTAGAAAATAACAACATAAACAACAAAAAATGCATACGAAACACGTGATGATGAACGAAGAAGACGACGTCGTCTCATACGTCACGCCCTCCATTATTATTAGACGCCATTTTGATGACATTGTTCTCGCCCGTATGACGTAAATACAAAAAATCCACTCATTTTTAACCGTTAGTTTTTTTTTCTATTTTTTTGTTTCTTATTTTAAATAATTAGTTATTAATAATAATAATAAAAATAATAATTAAAAAAAGAATTTATTTATTTATTTCTTACGTGATATTGTTGTTTAAAATTTGTTCGTTTGTTTGTTTAAAAAGAAAAAAAGTCGTAAATTTTTTGTTTAAAAAAAAAAAAAATTCAAAACTCGTCGTCGTCTATATTTAAAAAAATTTTTTTTTTACGAAAATAAAAAAATTAAAACGTAATTTTATGCTTAATTTATTCTAGAACAATAAGAAAGAAAAAGGAAAATTTTCAAACAACAAATGTTACTAAAATTTTTTTAACTGTAAAAATTTATTAACTTTGTTATTAACGACCATTCGATTAAACAACAATAACAACAATTTTAAATTTTTTTCTTTTTATTAATCATTATTATCATCATCATCATCATCATTATTATTTCATTTTTTTCCCCATTTCAAATAAGAATAATAATAATAAATAAAATCAAAACGTGTTAAAATCGTTTTTTAATACTTTTTTTCTATCAAGAAAATTTTTTTTTTTAAAAACAAATTTTAATAATACAAAAAACAAACAAACAAACAAACGGGGGGAGGGGGAGGGTGCGTGTACAAACGTATACAAACTCAAGAGTATTATCCTAAACAAATTTTTTTTTTTTTTAATTGAAAAATTAAGTCTTTTTTAATGTAATTTCCCAAAGTAAAAACAAAACCTCTGATGTTGTTGTTTTTGTTGTTGTTGTTGTTGTTTCGGTTGATTGTTCAAACACCATGAAATTAAAAAAAAAAGGAAAACAATTTCACATTAAAATCGGTATTATCATCATCATCATCATCATTATTATTATTAACAATTTTCCAGTCGTATTTTTATTCTTCCCTTTTTTGCGGTTGGTTGGTATAATTAAAAAAAAAAAAAAAAAAATTGGCTTACTTTTATTTTTATTATCATCATCATCATCATTATTTTTTTTTAGATTTAACAATGATGATGATGATAATGATTATTATTATTACAATCGTTGTTATTAATAATAATAATAATAATGAAAAAATTCCGGTTGGAAAAAAAAAACGAACGCATCGTTATTAAAAAATGGACGCAATGAAGGGGAGAGAGAGAATAATAAGAAAATAATAATAATAATAAGAATGATAATGATGATGAAAAGTAAATTAAAAAAAAAAAAAAGGAAAAAATTGGTTTACCATTGAAAATTCAAATAATCAACAGTATAATTAAAAGGAAAATCGACACACACACACACACACACAAAAAAGGGGGGATTTTAGCGAATCGTATTGACGTGGTTTTAGACTTTATTCTTATTAAAACGGTTTCTAAGCAATGAATGAATGAATGAAAGATTTTATATAATAAAATATTTATTTATCTCTACGTTCTACTATTATTATTATTATT